AGACTATTAAATTCAGGCGTCGTTTGCGTTTTCTAAATCAATAATATTGATAGTTCAACATGCACTCATACAACTAATTTACCTTATACTATGTTCGGACCGACATTGAAACCATTTCGAAAACACATTTGTATGTTGTGGAATCTAAGTCGTTCGGACCGACAATGTGTATTTTCGATGAGTTTCCACTGACAACTATTAAAAGCGGTATTCTCTTACTCTTGCAAGATTGCACGATGACACAAAATGCAAAAATCCTTTACGGAAATATGCAAAGCCAAGAGAGCACCCATTGCAGAATCTAGTGATATATGATGGCAAGAAAAGAAACATGGGTTTTGGTCTGACATATTTTACAGCCATTGCAATCAATTTTCTGCGTGTGTTTGTTGTTATGCCGTTGCACCAAAGGGAAAAATCTGCAATTTCTGCACGGTGCAAGGTTTTGCATGAGCAAGAGAATCCCCCTCATATGAGAATATCAAGCGACAGCTGTATTTGTATGTGGAATGTAAACAAATATCAAGTGACAATTTAGGACCGGCAAAACATGTCTTCCAAAAACATCGATTAAACTAGAGCAGGCACCGATTTTAATGAGTGGAATGTAAGTTTTCAAGTAGTTTTCAGTGAAAACTGTGTTTTCGTTTCACAGATTTTACATGGACGAAAACACAAGTTTTCTTGCAAAAACCAGTTTTTGCCACGAAAACATGTTTTCGTTGCCGGTCCGAACATAGTATTACATACTCATTCCTCTTTCAAATCAACTCGTATGAGCACATCTCGACTACTTACCAAATGGCATGTTTTACCATTAAGAGGAATGAAATTGCAATTTTCGCAAACTCGTCCAACCGGACAGTTTTTCTCGCACTTTGCCATTTTCATTTTCATTATACTATATACGACGCCTTGTCTACGCCTTTAAGTCAGAGCATATTTTGTGTCGGAAAAATATTGCCCAAAAAGTCATTTGCGTCTTCTAATTACTGGAAGCAAATAATTTCCAAAAACTACACAAAATCATATGTAACAAATGTAGTTTAAAACAAGTAAGGAAGGGCTAAGTTCATTTTATACTCTCGCATGATAAAGTGATAATCGAGATTTCAGGCGTGGTTATGAACCGCTTTCATCCATATTTAGCACATGTCATCAGGGTGTTAAGAAAATATTATATACCGAATTTCATTGAAATCGGTTGAGTACTTCCTGAGATATGGTTTTTGGTCCATAAGGGGACGGCGCCACGCCCATTTTCAATGTTTACAAAAAGTCTGGATGCAGCTTCCTTCTGACATTTCTTCCGTAAAATTTAGTATTTCTGACGTTTTTTGTTAGTCGGTTAACGCACTTTTAGTGATTTTCAACATAACCTTTGTATGGGAGGTGGGCGTGGTTATTATCCGATTTCTTCCATTTTTGAACTGTATATGGAAATACCTAAAAGAAACGACTCTATACAGTCTGTCTCTTATACACATCTAGATGTGTATAAGAGACAGATATATAACCCTATATCTGACTCTTTTAGTTTTAGGACTTACAAACAACCGTTATGTGAACGAAACTATAATACTCTCTTTAGCAACTTTGTTGCGAGAGTATAAATATACGTTACGAAATCTGATGTACAACAAAAATATCAGCAATATACGAAAGCTTCTGTTACGTAGGGATGAAACGAATCTTTATGGCATGTGAGAACGTATTGATGTATATAAAAAAGTTGCTATCCTGAAGAAGCTTTTCATAATTATATGCCAAAGAATATTTTCTTTACACCCTAAGGTAAGAAATCACTCATGTTGGAAGCTAATACTTATTGCCTCAGACTAAATCAATAATTAAGAGCATCATTTGTTTAGGCAATATTATTAAAAAACATGTAGTGAATATCGGGCACACTTTCAATAATATGGAGCTAGTACTACATATTTGTTCCCATCATGAAAGTAAATTCTAATAGGTGATATTATAACCCCATTATAACTGGAGTACATCAGTTGAAAGCATAAAATGACGTCACTAGCTCGAATCTGACATTGAACAGAATAAATATATTTAAATAGGAATTGTTGTAAATTGCATTTTTACATACGGTAATTAATATTACTTTATTTTGTTTGTCTATACAAGATAGTATTTCGCAATTCTGAGAGCAAATGAAACTTGTTGACTTTTGCGTCAGATACCTATACTATATCCTTTTTGCTAAACAAAAACAAAATTGAATTTTATTTAAATGTTCCACTGTTAATTTTTAAGCCGGTGATGCAGACGATTGAACAGAAGCTGTGTTAAGGTATTATATTCTAGTATTACTACTTCAACTCGTTTTTATTTCATTTGTATTCACATAGTATTATTTTATTTTTTTTATTAGCATATTAAATGAATAAAAGTTTTAAATTTTGCTTTATATAATTGGTCCTAACTACACTTAGCATATATTGCCTTTCCTACTATAGAGGGGTGTTTTCATCGTGCAATGCCACAGGATGACATCGAACAATATACTAATGTGAGGCTACTTGAAGAAGCAAGCCTATTCACTTTCGACGTACGGAATGGTGGTCAATCTGGTTGCGAGTTAGTTCATTGGGCGAAATGCATGTATACTTGCGAATTTCCTTCTGAGGGATGGTGGAACCGCCAATAAACAGCTGAAATGTCCGATACAACTTGATAAGCTTCGCGCCATTATTACTCCATGAATCGCAGTCATGAATTCCAATATCCCGAAATTTTAATCGTTGGGCATGCTTTCAGCCGACCATATTCTACAAAGAAGCTGATGCATGCTCCTTATCAGTTCTTCACCGCCCTGTTTGAATAACTCGGCCGGCAATCCATCGGCCCCCGCCGCTATTTTGCGGTGATTGCTATATCTTGTCCGCTTATCAGAGAAAATTTGAACGAAATTGTAACAAAATTGTGTCCCTGTTCGGTCATTGAAACGAACTCATTTCCGGTTATAGGAATTGGTGTTGTATAAAAGTAGTAACGAAATCGGTGTATTCATCAAATTTTATAAGGGCTGTCCTTAATGGGGTTATTCACTGTACATCATTGAGATAAAATATATATTGATAAATAATACTGAAAGCTCCTCTTTTTGGGAATAAATATAATTTACAGCATTTCATTATCTTTAATTACGGCCTTCGTTTTTTTATTTCTGCAGATTCTGCTGTTGCCTCCAAGCAATCAGCGTACTCCAGAGGTTTGGCAAACAATTGCTTCTATGTGTTGTGGTTAAAAGACAGGAATGCAATTTGCTTGTTTTGTTGGATATTAATATATTTGTATTTTTCATAGACTATAATTGCTGGTCTTGCAACATGCAACGGCTAATGCAAGAATTTAACACAGTTACAGTGGTTAGTCAACATTTTTGCTTCAAAACTAGATATTTTTTTATTTTTGAACAAATGGAATTTTTTATACATCATGACTTTGTTTATTAACAAATAAAAATTCCATATTTTAACAATATTTTTCTTAAAGATCATTTAACCCAATGTAATACCAGAAAATAAAATTTTAAGTAGATTCTTAATGGTGCTAAAAGCTAGAGACTTGAGATCAGAATTAACAAAATGCCCTCATACTATTCCAAATATTAATTTTACCACGATTTCAACAATTAAACTAGATGTCTATCCGTTTGTCCATCCGTACAAGTTGTAACTTGACTACAAATTAGGATATCTTGATGAAACTTAGTATGCGTTCCCTGGCTAAAAACTAACTACTTGTTTGTAAAAGACCGCAATCGAACCACTATCACGCACACAAAACGCCATTAACAGAGGTTGACTTTTTAGCGAAAATGTTGGACAAAGTGTTAGCTGTACAATTGAAATTCCGAGAGAATATTTTCATATCAGTAGTATGTCTAATAGCCTTTGAGGTACCTAATATTAAGATTTTCGAACTTCATTTATATCACATCTATCGGTCACAATGTGAGTCACCTGAATAAAATTGGGAGAGTATGTTTCTCTTATGAGAGTAAATATTTGTGCTTAAAATAAATAAAATCTGGTGAAAACTGGCCATAGACCCCATATAAGTAATATGCCTAATATACCTGAATTTACTTCCCTGGCTTTAATCCTTGTAAGTTGCGAGAGTATGAAATATTCTGTTATACTCTTAAGTAAGAAATACTTGTTTATTTTCAAGTTCTTTTACAGAATTTTCTTCATTTTGAGTGTGTTTTTTCTTCTGAATTTTTAAAGTCAAACAAAAAATTAGTGGCGGGAGCGTCTTCATGAACTTTATCTTTTTAGGAACATAGGTATGAATGCACTTTCAGATTTTTATTTTTGGGCTCTTCTTTCGCCATGTACATATATGATTTTGATCAGTTTCTTGGACATGCCGACTTTGGTGATAGCCAAGGACTGGTTTGCTCTGTACTATATTTTAAATTGTGTGTAGAAATCAAACCAATCATGACAGCTAATCGGTGGAAAGAAGTGTGAATAACTAGTTGAAGTACAGATGTATATACATATTTATGAAAGTTTTGTCAACTCATACACATAATATACATATTTTCATTAATTGATAGTCAGTAGTTGTGGAATTACTACTATGTTAACATTTTATATTTCATATAGGGATTTGTATATTTGGTTTTTAGTTTTATCAGTTTTACACAAATTTTAATTAATCTTTCATTTCAAACAAATTCATTTTAAGTTTAAGTCAGTTTTCTCAAAGCAGTTGTTTGAATATGTTTTAATTTATGTATGTATAATATATGCACACAAACTACTAAGGATTAAACTTAAATTTATATAAGTGTCTTTAAATATCTATATTATTTTTCTTTGTTTGATATAAATAAATTTAATTTTTAAAACAAGTTTTCCAACAAATTAATGTTAACTACCTGTAACTTTGTATATGCACTGTAAGAATTACTTTAAAATTATTGATATATTGATTATATTTTTAATATCACCTTAAATTTTTATTTTCAGAACTTAATATTTATGTCGAAAGGAGCTAACTTAGAAGATCAAACATTAAAGTGTATGGTGATTTACAGGTACGTTTATTATTGTATTGATTTACATAATGAAGTGTTGAATTCGACTTCAAACTAAAAGAAAATAAATAAAAATATTGGACAATTTGTAACAATTAGATTCTAATAAACCAATAAGTACAGCACGACCATTGCGCCAAGTAAAAAGACTTAATCTATTAATTTCTTTATATTTGTACGTACGTATTATTATATAACAGTAATTAGCAAAGTTTTGTTGTTATACATTAATGTCGGATTCTTGTTACAAACTTCATTTTTTTTTTTAATTGCTAAAGCGAAACATGTTTGATATTGTGAATTTACTTGTGCATTACATTGCGTATTATTTTATTAATTATGCAATAGGAAAGGTACTTCTCTTGCTGATGAGCCTTCACTTTCTAAACGCTTATGTACGAATATAACTACTTCACATTAAATACTATACAACTAAGGTATATGATACATCAGTCCAATCTAAAAAATATGATCTGATACTGTGCTGTTGGTTTGGACAAAAATCCATGCTAAGTTTAGTGAGATAAATTGTCAAATAAAAAAGCTTTTCTTTCAGTTTTAGTTTTTTATAAAACTAATTTCAAATAATATTTCAAGATGACTCCAAGCGAAATATACATATTTTTTCCTGAAGTGCAACCTTTTTAAAAATGGTTTACTATTATTTATCATTACAATGATCACTTTAGTGCCACTGGTTGTCCCTCATTGTGCGATAATCGTTTCAACTTTTTTCAAGTCGAAATCTCTCAATAGTTATTTTTGGTATAAAAATCAAAATGGTAGATACATGAATATATATATAATTTGAACTGTTTATCGTACTCTCTAAATAAATAATACATTGTTTTAGTAATCGCTCATTGACTTAGTTAACTGATTATCGAGTCATAAAAATGATGAATAAAAGTTACTCGACAATAAAACTGATATTATATTTCAAAATATCCTAATTAGTTATATTTAGCTGTCATTCCTGGTGGGCAAAGCTGCATAGAACACGGCCCCTTTCGTGGGTATCAAAACCGTTACTGCCACAGATCATAAACTGCCTGCAAATGATTGTGAACTAATTGACTGATTAGGCAAACACTTAACGATGAAAACCACAAAATATTGTACCGCCTAACTAAAAATAGTTGTTAAAACGCATGGAATATATAATTCTACATGCGAGAATACGATAAACGCACATTGTATTTACATTTGTAGAATTAAAGTTTTAGTATAAATATTTAATCGCACATTTGTACTGAATTGAAAGGAATTTCATTAAATATGCAAAGACAAAATCACAGTTGAGGTCACACCCACAAAACCTTACTGAACGCAAACCTATAAATAACATAACCAAGCACTAAAATAAGATATAAAACTGTAATTGGAAAGGTGGTCGCAGTAGCAAGAGGCACCTGTGTGCTAAAATTGATGAAAAAAGTAACCTTTTATTTGGTTTCATGGAAAGATCTCATAAACCACTTAATATTCAATATCCAAATGAGCTCAGGAAATCTCACTTAAGTCCCCCAACCGACATTGTAATAACGGTTTCGCTAAAAACTACTGAAGGCGTGATAAACCAGGGTCGTGGGATTGGAAAACTTTCTGTTTGAATAGGTTGTAATTAATCATCCACAGCAAAGCAAATTTCTTTAGATCTTACAGAATTTTCTATTTATGTTATCATTCTCTAATGTGTTGGAAATCCGAAAAGTGTCTATTCCCAGTTCTTCACCAAAAAAAAATATGAGCGGAAATACTTTAATGGGCAATTTGTTACAATACCCTTCCTCAATTCTTCGACCGATCTATCATGAGCTATAAGATATATCGTTAAATGATGGTTTCCCATACAAGAAGCTGATTCTGATCGTTCATTTTGTATGGCAGTTGTATGCGTGACTATTTCAGTATTGCTCATTTGTTGCCATGCGGTAAAAAATAACTGCACTAACCCTCCTTCTTTGGAACAAATGAAACATGCACACGAAATGAATAACAAACTTTTGAGCTCACATCCTCATATACCACACGCATTTAGTTTGGTTTCAATCGGCAGGTAAACATTTAATGGATTTCAGAAAATACTGTGCTTTAAGATATATAATATTTTTCACCTTCAAATGAAATTAATTTGAGTATTAGTGGTTTGCTAGTTTGGTTTTTGTTTCATTTTACGGAAAGGGACAATCATGTCTGAAACCGAATTAAGCTTATTGTCATTGGAGGCTGGGAGGAGTTTCGAAGTTGGGACAATTATCCTTTTTAGCCATTGTCGCTATTTTTCAAATAAACTTGTTAATATATATTTTTGAACAGCAAATGTGGATTGCTATTAGTATTATTCTGGTTATTGTTGCTGCTTTATTTAGCAATATGGCAGAGGTGAATGTGTATTGCACATGAAGGGTGATTATTACAATTCTATTACATTATGGATTTACACCACAGTCGCACACATACTAGTCAACTAAAGCGACTTATCAAGTTCGCAAGAACGACAACAACAAACCTGAAGTTTCATTACTTTATATAAAACGTAGCCATTAAACAATTAAACAATGAACAGGATGTAACTATAAACTTTGTTTTAATGTCCCTTTAAATTACATAAAAATGGGAAATATGCAACAATAATTTTGAAGTTATCGTGTATTTTTGTACGTACGTATGTATGCACTTATGTTTTCTGTGACCTTTGCTAAGAAAATCAGTTCTTTATGAACAGACACGTGGGCTTTTGGGAGTTGCTGTCTCCCCAGGAAATACCTGGAAGTTTATTCAACGCAATATTGCCATGGTTTCTGCATAGGCATTTCCCATTGATTGGAGCTGACAATGTTTTGCTGTGCAAATTTTATTATAACAAAATTAGGCTCAAAACAATAATTTACAGAATATATTAGTTACTGAAATTATAACCACCAATAGTTGTTGAAGTTTTGTTTTTAAGATATACGTTTTCAAAATGCTTTCATTTAACATTTTTCAATTTATTCCTTATCCTCTCCAAATACTCAATAGATCAATTATTCCCTCTAAGAGTATTGTTCATGCTACTGTTTGATCGAAGTCAGGTGTTAATTTCATGATTCTCTCCGAAAATAATTGTGTATGTTAGTAAAAATTAATGGATTTTATAAGTTTCAGAATCGCGATATACATATGTTTCAAATATTTCATATAAGCGTGCAAAGCTTTATTCTGGTGTGTGCTACATATGCATTGATATTGTTATAGCGGTGCAATTATAAATATTTTTCGTTATGCAGGTAAATAAGGGAATTAGGACTTAGTCACTATCGGGTAGCATTTTTGTTTTCATGATGTTGTGAGAGAAAACTCGAAGTATCATTAAAATTATTATACTTTACTGTAAAAGAGGTTTTATTAAATTACGTTATATTTTAGCACAAAAATATAGAAAATGTTTTATTTTTCAGTTTACTGTATCTCATTATAAGGTCATAAAACCTTTACAAAAGTTGAAAGATGATGAGAGCATAATTCCAGATAAATTTATTATTTTTAATGGAAAATGGGAAACCTCTGATTTTCATTACTGCATTGATATTTCTTATTTAGAGGTTTTATGAATGTCATGTCTCGATATGTCAAATATAAGCAATAAGTCATTAAATATTACTTTTCCATAGAAATTTAATGGTGCAAATATTAAATGTAGGGGAATAACTATGAAAATATAATTATCCTATGTATGGAAAATGAAAGAACCAACCTTGTGAAATAAAGACAGCGGGAAAAGAATATTAATAAAGAGATAATGCACTGGAAAGTGTTTTTCTGCATGAGGGAATTATCGGGGTCGTTGAGTTCAAGTGCCGTGCGATTTGTTAGACTTACTTAGTAAAATATGCTTTATATTTGAACAGACAAAATTTCAGGTAAAGTAAAGTAAAGCGTATGTTAAGAACGAAATAACAGTATGATACCAAACATTGTAAAACAAACCGATTTAGTAGAACAAAATGAGTAATGTATATGTGAATGCAAGCGCCATAAAATAATTAACGCGAACTTGACTGTTGGAAAGAAACCCAGCGAAACGTAGCCTTCAAGCAAAAAACAGAAACAAAAAAAGCACGGCTTCAAACGATGCAAATAAAAGAAACTTGTAAAACTCTTCAAATTCACCAGTTATCTAAATACAAAATTTTACGAGGTGTGTTCAAAAAGTATCGCGAATTTTGTGTCTTTTCAAAACTTCTTTATTTATTCATGAATATCTATTTTGTCCCCTTCAAAGTAATTCCCATGAGATGTTATACACTTGTGCCAACGGTTTTTCAAATCTTCGAATCACTTCAAGAAATGTTTTTTTTTTTTTTAACTCCTTCAGCTCCTCCTTCGAAGCCGTCTTTATCTCGTCAAGAAAAGCTTAAGAAGGCTTTCATGGGCCTCTTCAGTTCAGGGAACAAGAAAAAGTCACAGCGGGCCAGATCTGAGGAATACGGTGGCTGTGGCAGCATTAGTGTGTTGTTTTTGGCCAAAAAGTCGCGCACAAGCAACGATGTGTGAGCAGGGGCGTCATCGTGGTGCAAAAGCCAATTTTTGTCACATTTTCTCGGCCTCCTGAGAACATTTTGTACCACCGATAAACGTTGCTTCGGTYCAAGGTAGCTTCTCCGTATGCCACAGTCAACATTCGGAATGCATCCGCGCACTTAATTTCATTTTTTCGCACAAAATTTGATATAGGTTCTTTGATCCATTTTTTTGAATAGGTAAAAATCGAAGACGATCCAAAACACGTGCAAGCAAAGCAGCTGTCAACAATTAAATGAACATTCAAAATGGCCGAGCTTGTCGGCATAAGTGAGAGATATGAGTAATAACATAACGCCACAAAAAATTCAAAATTCGCGATACTTTTTGGAACCCACCTCGTATTTCTAAGGATCATAAAATGAGGGTTTGGATAAAAATTAAAAATTCTCATCATAAAACTAGAAAGGTTGGACGATGAAATTCTTAATATA